TTTTTGGATAAAAATGACCAGATGACAAATTTTGGAAAAATAGCAAAAAACATATTCCTACTAACATAAAATAATTTAAAACATATTAAATTAGCTGTGATTTTACTTAACACAATTCATTACTTGTTTTTTGGATATGTATTATTTGTTGTGATATGGTTGGTTTGGCTTTTATAGTATAATCGCTAATTGTTAATATTGATCTTTATGCCCCGCCCTACCCCATTTAAATAAAATTAACAGCTAATTATGACAACGCGACTTGGACTACTTTGACCGAAAAATAATGAGCATGGTTACCAAATGATATCTATACCAAAATGATTATGTAGTTACATCAACTACTAACAATTAGTGTCCATGATATCAGAGCAATTACTAAAATATTTACACACTATTCTATATGGGAAATAAAAATGTATGTTGTGAGTGAATAAAAAAAATGTCTAAAACTGTGATAGAAGAACTGACATTCGAAGTGTCGGCGTCGAATCGTGGATCCAGAACGGGAGCTAGGAGCAATTCGAATCGTAACCGCAGGATGCAAAAGAAAAACAAGTGCAAACCTCGGATTAGGTTTTGTGGTGTAGCGTAGGGGATCTATTATGCAGCAGTCCAGCGGTCAAACTTGTTACCGTTCGCTTACACATACGGTAGTGCCTGATTTTATTCAAATTGGCTGCGATCCCCGCACACGTTCTTCGACAGAAAAAATAACACCGCGTACGATTTACTGTCAACTGAGCAACATCAACATCTACGTCTGGTGGGATTAGAATTTATGTGCGAACAAATGATGTAACAGAAGTCGCATAATTATTCTCATATCCATTGATAATTTAATCAAATTAAATTTGAATTGATTTCTCTATGTTTATCTAACTTCCCGTAGGGGATCGTTCAAGGGTTACGTAAGCAGATTTATTACAATTACTTACGGTCTCTAGGGTAAGTTATAGTAATCGCTAAAAAGCGGATTTTTTTCTGCATATATTTACGTTTTAAAACCTCCTGAAAAAAATGGATGTATGTGTGTGTGTTTCGTGCGGATACAATTTTTCGTCTACGATTTCGAGAGCACTGATCAACCGATGTGAATGATTCAAATAACATTCGATTCCCATTAATAGAGAAACGGGCTGATTCGTTTTTGGCAAAGACATCTCCAGCGGTTTCGAAAATACGAGGAAAAAGGAGAAAAAAATGGAAATTCAGTTTCCGCGAGAACGGAGCATCCGATTAGATTGATCAAAATACATTCGATTCGTATTGACGGATGAGCTTGCTGATTAGATTTTGCCAAGACAGGTCTAGCCATTTCTAGATATAAATCAAAGAGTGCCAACAATTGCAGTTTTTGGAAGAACGGAGCATCCGATTCGAAAAATTAATTCCGGACGGAATAATTCATTCCGAACGGAGCATCCGATTCGAATTAAACCACCATTTTGCTTGTAATGACGGAATGAACAATTGATTACATGTTTGCGAAGGCAAGTCCAGCGGATTTGGAAAAGCAAAAAAGTTAAAAAATTGTAATTGACTAATCTGAAATGATTATTACGAATCATTATTATTGATTCATATACATGTAAAAATATTGACTCACAGGTGATAGATCGATAGATGGACCTGTAGACAAGTAGATAGGTAGACAAGTAGACAAATACGAAATTAGACAGGTAGACACGTAGACAGGGAAAAATATAGATAGGACGACATGCAAAACGGTAGAAAGGAAGAGAAGTAGACAAATAGAAAGGACGACTATTGGGTAGGTGGATTGGTACGATGATAATCAGGTAAACGAGTGGGCAGGTAAGCATGTACAAAAGTAGACAAGTTGTTAACTTGGACATGCAGCCACGTGAACAAGTAAACTATTAGACAGGTAGATTATATACAAATTATATATTTATTATTTGCCGCTCCGGCGTCAAAATACATATAAATCTCGCAATTCGCGAGTGGAAAGGGTTTAATCGATTATTGCCACATGTCGGGAAGTTCATGCAACTTTCCTTAGAGTACTAATAAATTGGCGGCACGTACGCCTAGTTTTGTCTAGATGTTAAAACCATATTTAAACCCATCTTCTTATGTTTAAGTATACTTCAACATCGGTTTTAATCGTACAAATATTGGAATAGTTTATAGTTTATAGTTTATAGTTTGGTGAAAAGTCTCAAACATAAAGAAATTTCACCTCTAAACGCTTTATTGTACGTTACATAATCATGAACATTACCACTCAACTACTGAGTGACTTTGAACATGGGTAACGCGTATTTAAGCTAAAATATGAACAAACAAAACAAAAATAATATATATATATATATATATATATATATATTTATATATATATATATATATATATATACCGGAGATCGTGAAACCGCAAGTGACGAATAATTGGAATAGAATTTATGTGAAAAATTTGAATAAAATAAAGAAATTTTGCTTCATTGATTATTTAAATGTGAGATTTAGATTTTTGTTCGACGTTGAGACATATTCTTGAATGTTATATTTGCAGCCAATCGTCGAAATAAAACAACAATAATGAACTATTTATTTATACGTTTCGACATGGTATGTGTGTCATCATTCAATAATTTTTTTAGATACTGTATAAATATAAAAAAATACTGAATGATATGAAAAATACTTTAATTTGAACTTATTATGATATTTACTACAACATCTAACGAAATTGATTTATGAAGAGAAAAACTAATCGAGCTCTAACAATATATACAATCGAATTAATGCCGTTTTTTTAGAAAATTCATAACGTAAGCTACCAATCTTCATAAAGATGAGTGGAAGAGTTAAGGCCATATAAAATTTACCAGCGCAGAAGAGTATTCTTATTCATCGAAGACTCTCGCACATTCATCAGCTACTGCGTTTCTTGACCGCAACAAGTCTTCGAGTACAAAAGCGCGATTCTACAATAGCAAAGTTATTAATCTTGAAGAATAATATATATTTATGTATATATGTATGTATGTACTTATATGTACGATTATCAAACTATATTTAGTAAAATACCCAGTTAATTCCCAATTACAGAACTGTGTTTATTTACTATTTTTCTCAAATTTGCCATTCGTCCCTTTTAACCCCATAAGCGTGTAAAATGAGACAGCCCAGAAGCAAACAGATCTAATGACATGTTTTTAATTTTAATTAATTTTACAAATACAAGCTATTTATCCAATGCGAAATATAAATTTTATGTGTACATTTTATTCAACCATAACACTCCTTGATCTGGTATTTTCTCAGAAATGTTTATCAGTAGAGTTAGAATGAGATATTATTTTATTTATGCTTTGTAAAATTGTTTTTTAACTTAATTTATTTTTTTATTTACTATTTTTTTACACATTTGCCGTGTACAGGCACAGATTCAATTGGTCCTTTTCACCCCATCCACATGTAAGCTTTTATAGAGGCTATATAAAAATTAACTGCTGAATCTAGCTTAAAAGTAACAATACATCTTATAAAATAATTAAATAACGTATATTTAAAGATTATATCAAGGTGTAGTAAGCTAAACAACAGTAATCACAACCAAAAAACTAACAACGAAAGAAAATACTTACATTGCCTCTTATGATAACGACGTCGTAAGAATCAAAGCGATGACTTGTTAGAAATCTTTTTCCTTCTACTTTCAAATATTGTTGTTAAAAAATACCTAACCTTACTTGTTTTTGAGATATCGCTGGTAGATTTTTTAACCCGCGGACCTTTAAGCCCTACCCTCTCTCTCTCTCTCTCCAATATATATATATATATATATATATATATATATATATATATACAGTAGAATCCGCTTAGTATGACATTCAAGGGACGGCGAAAAATCGTCATACTAAGCGGTAGTCATACAAAGCGTACTGAAAAAAAAAACAATTTTTGGCGAATATGTTATTAATTTCAGTAATTTAATACAAAAATTAAGGTAAAAAATGACAATTAAGGTATATGTATATATATGTATGTGTATATATATATATATATATATATATATATTTATTTATATATATATAATGTATAAGGTATATAAGAAAATGTTATGAATGTATGTATAGATACTTGTGTAATATGTATTAGTTTTTATGAACGTATGTTTACGCTCATTATAGTTTTATGGCAACTTGTTTTATCCAGTCTTAATTTTTTCTTCGTATTTTTGATTTTACAACTATGCCTAAAACTTACCTCGTTATGTGTTTGTATATATTTTATTTTCTTCTATTATATTCGTCGGTAGTTTCATATAGATTTTGTTTTTATTGTTTCATAGCAAAACATTGCCCAGTCGGTCCTCATGGACCGAAAACTATTCTTTTCAAGTATCGTCGGATTGTGTGGTCGTAAATAATAATGAGATCATATAACTAACTCTCGGTAATTATTTTATGCTCATTGCTATAAATATAATACATGATTTATGCCGCGTTTCACTCCTAAAAGAGTGTAATAAAATGCTATCGATGAAAACAGTGAACCGTAATAAAATTGTTTTTTGCGCTTATAATGAGTAACACGTTTTTGTAGATTATAAATTTGAAAAAAGTGTAATCTGTGCTTCAAGTTATCGTTGGCATATATTTCTACTTAATCATCATAAATCATCATTCAGTTAAAATGAATGATGAAATTGATACGATTAATTATCATCAATACTTTTTTACTAATAAAAATGTTTTTAACTTCTCTTAGAGTAAATGATAATACCTTAAAAAAATTTTAAGATATTATATAATAAGATTAAAAAAATGGATGTATGTGTGTAGTATGTGTTTTGTATGGACACACTTTTTTGTTCAAGGGATCAACCGATTTTATTGATTAAAAAACATTCCTATTTATAGGGAGCCGTACTGAATAGTTTTTGGCGTTGGTACGTTATTTTTGCTTATTTAAAATGACGTAGAATATTTAATCATAAATTTCATAAACAAAAAATAAAATAAAAGTTACGGGGATACCAGGATTTGAACCTGGGACCTTTCTTTTATGAATTCAGCTGAACGCTCTACCGCTGAGCTATATCCCCAACAAGTTATTAACGATAACCAAGCACTTGATTAGATGAATTTATTGCTGATTATCATTAGAAGTCATTATTGATTCATATACAAATAAAATTATTGGTAAATAGGTAGATAATTATACAGGTAGGCAGGTAGATAGTTAAATAGGTACAGATAGACAAATATATAGGTAAACAGATAATCAGATAGAAAAGTAGAAAAGGCGATTGATAGAAGAATTAAAAACTGGTAGACAAGTTGGCAGGTATACAGGTAGACTGGCAGAGAAGTAGACAGATGAGCATGTAAACATGTGGGCAGTTAGACAAGTAAACAGTTGGACAGGTAGATCATATACAAATAAAAAAATGATTAAATCGATTATTTACACTTATCAAGACAAATTGCCACTTACAACCAGTTAACAGTAATACTTTCAGTATGTATTAAATTATATGATGGTTTTTAGCAGGAGAATTTAATGTTTCAACCACACGTTTGGTCAAGACTGAAACAAAACTGTTAAATAAATTCACAAAATACAAATATGCCAAAACATTATTTTTTGTGTTAATAATAGTGACTAATACTAAAATTGGTAGCCAATGAACAGTGCTCGAACTTAAACTTTTTTATGCCCCTCGAAATAATTATTCCCTTTTGATAACACGTTAATCGTTATGTCAGTCATATGTGTCTGACGCAAAGAAGTTCTACATGAGACATATCAGACATATATGTTTTATTATTAGTTAAGAAACTTTCTGATGTTTCTTTGATACCACATACGTGAAGTTAGGTTTTATGTGTAAAAGGCCTGATAGCACAGCAAATATATAGTTTTTTTGACAGTTTGTGGCTACTAATTCATACGATTATACACCCGTAACATAGCATTACCATAACATTTCTACTTTATCCGAGAATTGGTCGCATAGCAACTAATATATAAAGCTAACTATTTTTTCAAACAAAATATACGCTTTTATGATCATTTTAGTTTTATTTCATTAAGTTATAAAGCATCCATGTTCCATAGCATTATAATTTATTATCTTACTTTATACGTAAGTTGAGTGATTTTTTTTTTAAATTATGAGTACTTTCAGTGTGATTTATCAATATTTTTTAATTTTTCAGAAGGCAACCTGGTTGGCGCGAGTGAGTTATTAGGTTACAACACTCCAGGCGCAGGCGGAGGCATGGCCAACTCGTACCATGGTGCAGCAGCTGCAGGATTTGCATCATATCCTACTCCATTTGGCTACGATGCGCCGATAGAACACAGCGCCATCCCCACAGGTAATACAAATGGCAGATGAAGTTATACATAGCTGAAACGATCAGATTAATATATATTTGATATTTTTCAACAGAAAAAGTAAAATAGATTTTTTAAAGAAATTTTGAATAATCAAAATAGTTAATAAAAACGTTTGAAAATTCTGGTTTTGAAGTAATTCGAGGACGCTGATTCCGAAATGTAACAGAACTTTGGTAACAGCTCTAGTTTTCGAAATAGACCAATGTGCTAGTTTGACCTTATTACAATGAAAATTAAAAAACATTTATTTTATGTTTTTTAACTTCCCGTAGGGTAAGTTATAGTAATCGCAAAAAAATCGAAAATGAAAATTTTTGCATTTCTCGACGTTTCAAAGGTTTCTGAATATTTTGGCATACCTTAGAAAAAATGGATGTATGTGTGTGTGTGTGTATGTGTGTGTGTGTGTGTGTGTGTGTGTGCGTGTGTGTATGTATGTGCGGATACAAATTTTCGTCGACGATTTCGGGAACACCGATCAACCGATTTGAATAATTCAAAAAACATTCGATTCGTATTGATAAGGAGACGCGCTGATTAGTTTTTGGCGAAGGCAGGTCTAGCCGTTCCGAAGATACGGGGCAAAAAGTGCCAAAAACGGTAACTCAATTTTTAAGAGAACGGAGCGTCCGATTTTAATAATTCAAACAACATTTTACTTGTATTGACAAGATGAAGAATTGATAAAATTTTCATGAAGGCAGGTCTAGCGGTTTCGGAGATCTAGTGAAAAAAGTAAAAAAAAATGCCATTTGGCGGTCAAAAATGATCATTAGACATATGCACATCAAATTATCAGATATTTTATAGAGATTTTAACAATAAGTATAAATTTGGTTTACATTCCTATGGGTTCCGTACCAATGTTTACGCGTTAGACGGCGACGCGGCGCTTACGCGCTTTGATATTTCGTCTTTATGCAGTTAAAGCAGTACGATTGCTTTGAAAAAAAGTTTAGATCTTCCAAAATATGTCAAAATAAAAAAACATTTTTTCTCAAAAAAAAATTTAAAAAAAAATTATTTTTTTTTAATTTTTTTTTTCAAAAAAAAATTATTTTTTGTCCAATTTATAGTTTCTCAAAAATCTTATTTTTTCAAAGTAAATTTTTTTCAAAAATGTTAATCGTTTTTAAAAGAAATAATAATTTTTGGTACGGGAAGTTCCAGCAATTTGCCTTAAGGCACGATGCCTTAATTGCCTTAAGACAGAATTCCACTTACAGTTAGTTTTATATAATTTTCGAGAATGAAAAAGTTTCACAGATTTTCAGTTCCAACATTTATCAGTCATCATGTAGATATGCCACCTTTTTTGATATCGCACCTCCAAAGTCCTGATATTTTAGTGGATTCCCTCGCCTGACTTCCTGGTTTTCTTCAAGACTTTATTCATAGAGTTTTCCAAATGTCCATTTTTCATGAGTTACCCAATTTGGGGATTATCGAATATATCATCATTAGCATGGATAGAGGTCGTGTAGCTGATCGTAAGTAGACGTATTATCTATTGCCTAAATTTATTTCATTATGGTTTTTAATTACGGCGGCATTAAATTTATAGCGTGTCTTTAACCTTTGGAACATCAAAGTAAATATACTACGCAATTTTGACACATAGTTTGAAAAACACATGTTTTATCTTTAAGGGGGTATTCTAGTGTAGAGCGATGAATTTTAGGTCATTTTTAAAGTGTTGTAAAAGAAAGCAATGAATGTTTTTACTATCCATTTTTTTACCATTTGTTTATTAATATTATTAAGATACAAAACAAAAATTAAAAAATTAAAAAAGTTAAAAATTGTAAAAACTGGCCCTCCTAGCCATCGAAAATGCAAAAAATAAAAAGATTATTAATCTGCTATGATGTGTCGCAATCGGCTGAACTAGCGATGAGTGAACAATTTTTTTTTTCACAAATTGGCGACTGTTTGAAAAAAAAAAGTTTTTTTTTACTGTTTTTTCCCGAGTTTCTCGACTTTTTTAAAAATAGTAAAAATAGGAATTTCGGGATGATTCTAGTTCAGACTATAGATAGATCTATAAACAAGACTATCTGAAAATTTCAAATAAATTGGTCGAGTAGAACTGAAAAAGTAAGTTCTGAGAAAAACGCATTTAAAGTTTTGCGTGAAGCCAAACCAGTATGAAGATCGAGTCAGTAAAATGCCCTTATCTCCAAAAATAATTCAAATTTTCAAAAACCTCCTCGTACTTATATTCTTAGATAGTTAAACTTTGAAAATATGAAATAAAAGAAAATCGATTTTTTTGAATTTCTACACTAGAATGCCCCCTTAAGCAGCTCGAAATAGGTTTTCCATATTTGTCGAAAATATATTTGCCACAAATGTATTGAAAACTATCTGAATTATATTAGACACACAACATATTACAGTCGGAGCATGGTCGGAGCCATACTAAAAACGGCAGACAAGACTCTTAGTTAATCGTTAATATGCGATAATCAATGATTGATGGGAGTAATTTCCCAAAACTAAAAAACTAGAGCCGTTACGGAAAACGTACATATAAAATCAACGTACATTTCTAAGTAGATTTGAAGATAAAAGTTCGAGGAAAAGTGCTATTCTTTTCTGGGCGCATAAAAATTATTTCAAAGAAAAAATATTTGCACTGTATTATATATTAAATGTATTTATTTTTTTCTTTCTAGTGTTGAGCGAATCACTATGTCCAATTTCCGATTACGGCAACTCGAGCGCCCACACGTCGCAGAAATTGATTTCAACGCAGCAGGCGACGGGTTCGGAGTACGACAGCTCCGTTCTGATTCCTCGACCATCTTACGATCCTGCGACTGCTTCAGGGCACGCGTATCCTTACGGAAACTCCGCATATCAGTACAACAACACAGCTTACCAGTACAACAATCCCGCTTACCAGTATAACGGTGGATCAGGTACGAACGCGGCTAGCTGCGCCCAAGTGCAGTATGCAGCAGGAGCGCCGCCTCCACCTCCTCCGCCGCCAACGATTTTGTGTCCGACTTTGTATAATACGATTAATCAGAATCAAATACATTTGCACGTGCACGGGTCGCAAATGAATAAGCTGGATCATTATCTAAGCGGAGAAGGTGGTTTGGCTTTGAGCAGCGCGGCGCAGGCGGCATCGAGGAGCATAGAGATAGGTATAGTTGGGGCCGCAGCCGCCGCTTTGACCGACCAAGAGGCCCATGCGGATCCGTCTAGTGTTTGGAGACCGTATACTGTGCAGTACTAGCATTCGTCGAATTGTTTTTATTAAACTGTTTTAAAGTTTATTTAGACTGATTTGTGAGTATCTTCTAAATGAGTTTCACAATAAAAATATTCTTATCAATTATACAATTGAGTACATTTAAAATATGTAACAAAGTTCGAAGAAAATAAAATGGGTAAATTGATGAATTGGAACCTTTCGAAGGTGTTCTGTGATGTGCATTGAATATAAAAAGTGCGTATTTTAAAAATATAATTGCAGACTTTAAGTGTAGTTGATAAAGAGGAGTTGAACTCTCAATGATTGATGATTCTCAATTGGGACGTTGCAATCATGTGAAATGCAGTGCCAATACTTCAGTACTAATATGCAATTATGTTGATATATGATGTGTTTAATTAATGATGTTACCAGTGAAACAAGTAAAATTGAACTATTTACTATAAAAACAATCTAATATTAATTATATTGAAAGATACATTAATTTTTAAAAATGATCTATAGATGTATAATATTTATATTCAAATTAATATTGTTTATGTGAAAATAATATAAATTAGGGGAGCTAGGGGCTTTATTTTACGGGGGTAAACGATATTAAAACATTTTTTTAAACTCGATTGGACAAGTAAACCGTTTTCCATAATATTGTCTTAGCTACTGTCTTACAGACCGACCCAATATACAGAACGGTGCAGATATATCTTTGATATGTAATATACAATTATATAATATCATGAAATTTCGGTTTCGGTAATTATTATCGACTAATTTTAAATTTATATTTCTTAATTTGCTTCATATTTATCAAAATTTGGTAATGTGTAACAATTTTTGTGATTGCTAAATTGTTTGAGTGGATAGTTCTCTTGATTAATGTAAAATCACACCTGGGGTTAGTATTATAAAACATACAAGAATTATATGCAGATTAAAGTGAAGATGTTTAGGTGGAATGCATAGTTTGTAAGCTATGGGTACATGTAAATTTACAGGTGACCCTATATTTTTTTGGATTAATTGCAGTTTACTTTGATTTATGATAAGTATTTCATTGACATGACAAATTTTCATGTGTATTATAGCTTAGAATTACTTAGCAACATGACAATTTTCTCAAAAATAATATGTTATCAGAGTTATTATTGTCATTTACTTGCTCCGGTAGCTCTAAACACGGGGTAAGTTGAAATACCGGACTTTTTCTAGAAAATGATCAATTGTGGAGTAATGAAAAATAGTTATGGGATTATTTATATTGGATTCGGTAGAGAAATAGTTATTGCATCTACTAATCTCTATTTCATAGAAATATAATCAGTGGGTCTCAAGATATATTATTTAAAAAAAAACTGTTACAACAAGCTCCTAGCGCCCCTATAGTTATTGAAAAATGTCGCTGCGTTCTGATTGTACTTAAAAATAACTATTATTCCAAACGCAGTTTACTCGAATCAATAATTTCAAAATTCCAACAATCGTCGTATCCAAAATATTTTATTATTTTTAAGAGCTAATTATCTATTAATATTGTATAAAGTATTATCTTATATCAAACAGATCTCAATGTGGGCCAATTATCATCGATTTGATTCTAAGTATATGTAATTACATTTAAATATTACTCATCATTCTCAGCGTATAGTATATAAACATGAAATATAAATATATAGATCTGTAAAAAATATAAATATATATAAAATAATTTATTTTAGTGTGTATAGATTATTATTTTAACTTGTATTTAATAAAACTTGTATCATATAATAAACACGAATATGAAATTATATTAGTCATTTTATTTTACACATTTGTGGTTTACGCAAGATATTCTCGATGTGTTTATGTCTGTTATATGCATAAACATTAAATTCTTGCAAAATTACCAAGAAAATACATTTGTATAAAGCATTATTTTTTTGTAGTACTTACATATTTAAAAGTGTTTTTATTTGGTATTTTATTTTTAGCTGATTTATAATTATTAACAAAATTGTAAGTATTATCGCGTAGATCTTGATTCACAAATAACTTTACTTCTTAATTGTTATTTATTTACTTTTAGTAAATTTCATACGTTTTTTTCTATGTCGAGATTTTTTTCTATTAAATATAGCTTGTCCCACATATAATAGCTATTGAAATATAATTTCAAATGGAAAAAGTGTTGATGTTATTATAAGTTTCCCGGATAATATTCCCGGATTCTATTGCTACCTCGGCCAAGCTCGATATCAAGCAATATGATCTTATAGATATCAAATATAATCTCAAGTGAAAATCGTCTTTCGTTTTAATAAATAGTGGTTAACCACTGGGTTGTCCTCTTGAAGAAGATAACGGACTAAAAACATTATCAAACACTACAAATAATATGTAGTTTTTATAGCTGTTAAAAAACTTTATAAAGTCTTCTTTTCTGCAACAATAGTTTTTCTAACAACAATAAGAAAAAAAACAACATTACTGTAAGAACAAATTTTTAATGAAATCTAATACGGGCAGCTTTATACGGGGTCATATGACCTTAAGTATTATATGAACCATATATGGATTATACTTATTTTATGTCATATTAGGAGCTTATGTGATAACTGAAGTCTACGTTTCTGCTTCAAAAATCTTTTTTCAGCAACAATAAGAGAAAATACAACATAACTGTAAAAACAAATTTTTAATGAAACTTTATAAAAATTAAGAAACTGATATGAACAGGCGTAATAGAGAATACTAATTTAGGGTAGTTATGGGAATGGGTCGAAAATCAAATGAAATTTTTTGCATTTCTTCGCGTTTTGAAGGTTCCTGAACATTTTGGCATACCTCAGAAAAAATGGATGTGTGTAAGTGTGTGTGTTTTGTATGTCCGCATTTTTTCGTCCACGTTTTCGGGCGCACGGATCAACCGATTTGAATGGTTCAAAAAACATTCGATTTTTATTTATAGGGAGATGTGCTGATTAGTTTTTGGCAAAGGCAGCTCCAGCCGTTACGGAGATACGGACCAAAGAGTGCAGAAAATACAAATCGAGTTTTTGAGAGAACGGAGTATCCGATCTGAATTATGTAAAAAACATTCAATTTGTAATTACTGGAAGAAGAGGTGATTAAGTTTTGGCAAAGGCAGGTCCAGCCGTTTCGGAGATACCGAGCTAAATGTGCAAAAAATATCTGTTTTTGATAGAACTAAGCATTCGATTTGAATTATTCAAAGAACTTTCTGCTTGTTTTAACAAAATAATTGCTTCTGGGAAAAAAATTAATTTAAAAAAAAAATCGTTTTTTTAATAATTCTGTATATCGAAAATAATTCAGATTTTAATTTTAATTCTGGCTAAAGTTCTAAAGCTCACTTATATAGTTTAAATAAATAATTTTAACTTTGTAATTCAGTTTATATAATTCGTATGAATATTATACAATATTTACAGTATTTACAATAATCTATTTCAAAACATTTAATATTCCTCGAACATTTCGTTATGGTACAGAAAGTTCCAGCAATTTGCCTTAGGGCACGATGCCATACACAACTAGTTTTATATTATAGATAGGGTAGAGCGAGACTTAAAGGTTCGCGGGTAAATACGATCTCAACAAGAAACCACCGATATCTCAAAAACAAGTAATGTTTGGAATTTTTAAAAATAATGTGTGAATATAGAAAGTAAAAGATGTGTAACCAGCCATTACCTTGATTTTTACGACGTCAGGAGAAAAACGACAATATTTGGAAATTCATTACATTACAAAATACAAATGCATTTTCTTTTATTGTTAGTCTTTTATAGGTATTTGACTGAACATAGTTAGATGTTTGTTTGATATGTGTTATTTATGGATGTAGTTGGTTTGATTTTCACAGCATAATTTTCAAAAGTGAAATTGCACATTTGTGCCCCGCCCTATATTATTAATTTTTCGTGCCTTAGGTTTGTCTCTTGATACGTTACATTGTGATGTTATAGGTAATATAACATAATTTTAATGTCGATGTGATGAAAGATAAAAGAGGCGCTATAAAAAACTAAAACAAAACGCATTTCGCTCTTGTATTCGCGCTTCGATTTCAATCTAACGTCGCTGTATATTTTACAGCGACACTACACCGACCTGCGGTTGAAAAATCACTTAACTCTCCGACCGCACGTTAAAAATACGCATTTTATTGTCGGGGAGAAAATATCGTTGGCGTTTTTTTTTTGCAAGAGACTATCGCTTTTTTCTCCCGATACGACGTGTGAATTTTCGATATCGCTTATTATTTGAATTGTAGCAAAGGTCTCGATATGTGCCAGAGCGTCGCGACGGTGCGAATGCCATGCAGCGGCAGCGCTCCGAAGAAATGAATTGCATTTTCATTCAATATATTTGATATATAAGTACGACTAGTAATTCTTTTGACTGATATATCTGATGATATTTTGGTTTTAGGGGCAGTCCATTAATTACGTAAAGCTTGAAGGGGGCCGAAGGTTTTAACAAACAACCATGTCATTACGGGGGTTGGGGAGTCTAGTAAGATATCACGTATATTTATATTTACCTAAATTTCAAAAAAAAATTTTTTTTGGAAGGTAGTAATGATACACGTGATGAGTGATTGAGTAGGTGAAGGAAAGTAGTTTTGATACTAGTATATAGAAATTTTCATTCAATGCGTTAGTAACCAATATAACAACATCCACAATATAAGCATTTAACTTCATGAGTATTATCGAATTTAAAAAAAAACAGCGTTTTTTTTAAAATATGACAAGTTCCTAAAAAAGGTAAACAATTTTTTATTTTTTTGAATTCCACTTATGTCAATAAATAAAGCTCTTCACCCTCTTCATGTTTACTTTTTACAAGTTATCACAATTTAATTAAAGTTTGTAAATCTGATTGATTTCTTTACCCCTGATTCTTCAACCAACATAACTACATATCATACAATATCAAACTTGCTTAGTTTTTAGTTGTGTCCACATGGCCACTCATGGAAACATAACCTCAATTTTCAATAATGATTTGAAGGA